CCAAGAGTATTCACAAACTACTAACCACTAGTAATTGTGTCCCTGTTGTCATCAAAACTGAGTAATCCAAGTTCACAATCCTGTTTTGGGCGTCTTCTTTCCAGGTCCACTCTCAGGACCAGCTGTGTTTGGGGCAAATGGCATGGTGTGGCCATGAGGTCAGGGGATTACTTCTGGATAAAGTTAATGAGAACCCAGATTTGTCACTAGAGAGAGGCCAGGACAGGCTGAGAGGCTCTGATGTAGCATTAAAAGATGTCTCATCCAAAGACATACCATAGATTTTCTTTCCAAATGAGGCTCACTCCATTTGCATTTATTGATGTGACATGATGGATAGGTCTGGCCATCATTCTGGCATCTTATTTCATGTTGTGCTTTCTCTCCCCAGTGCTTCCTTTGTCTTCTATCTTCTTCTTTGTGGTGTCTCTATGGTTTCTTGGGGCTATTTCACTGCATTGGTACACTTTGGCATGCTATTCTTCTGGAACCACCATACTTTTTTTCAGGACAAGATGTGACAGATATGCTAAGATGTGATCTGATGCATGAAACCTAAGATATTGCACACAAAGGCATCCCCTCCCTGTTTTACTGCTACACATCTGTGTCCTACACAGGAATCCTGATAAATTCTATTTGCCCAGTGACCATCAAAAGACAAAGAAAAGAAAGGTTGGTGTGTTTGTAATGATGTACACAGCTTTAGCCAGACATTCCTGAAAAACTTTGATTTCAACCAGAGTTAAAGAGAACCCTCTACTTACAATTTTACCTGTCAGATAATTGGAAGAAGTTTCTACATATCAGCTTCCGGCTCATTCTGTTTCACACCTTGCTCCTTCTCCAGTACCCACGGTCTCCGTGCCAGGTACTGTAGGGCATATTTCCACTGTGATGTGACCTCTGCCCTGATCCTCCATGTCACCCATTCTGTGCTCTGCTCCAGATAAGTCAGAATATTCTGATCCCAGGCTGGCCAGCAATAATTGTAGATAGAAAAGACTACAGACCATATGAATCTATCCCACTAAACATGTCAGATTGCATTTTCCCTTCATCCATATCCCACTCCATTGTCACCTGACACGAGGCAAAGGAGAATACTGGGCAAAAAGAGATAGTGGTCTTACTTGGTTGAAGCAAAATTGCCTTACCTATGAAAATTTTATTTTTTTTTTTTGAGACGGAGCCTCAAGCTATCCCCCTGGGTAGAGTGCCATGGCATCACACCTCACAGCAACCTCCAACTCCTGGGCTCAAGCGAGTTTCCTGCCTCAGCCTCCCAAGTAGCTGGGACTACAGGCGCCTGCCACAACGCCCGGCCATTTTTTGGTTGCAGCCATC